TTCTGATGGATCCTGTATTGACCAGGTTCTGATGGATCCTGTATTGACCAGGTTCTGATGGATCCTGTATTGATCAGGTTCTGATGGATCTTGTATTGATCAGGTTCTGATGGTTCTGTATTGACCAGGTTCTGATGGTCCTGTATTGATCAGGTTCTGATGGTTCTGTATTGACCAGGTTCTGATGGTCCTGTATTGATCAGGTTCTGATGGATCCTGTATTGACCAGGTTCTGATGGTTCTGTATTGACCAGGTTCTGATGGTCCTGTATTGATCAGGTTCCGATGGTTCTGTATTGATCAGGTTCTGATGGTCCTGTATTGACCAGGTTCTGATGGTCCTGTTGGGAAACCCCCTTCTTAATTACGTAAGAGCCGCAGGAGGAGGAGCTGGAGCGGTTGAACTTCCACTTCCTACTCAGTTCGGAACCGACACAGCAGCTGTTCTGGGTCTTTTCTACACTTCGGAGTGTTTCTGGGTCCAGCTGGGAGCGGTCCGGTTCCGCCTCACGCCCTCCGGTCCGGGTGGAGCAGCTAATTGGACGGGTTGGGTGGTTTGTTGATCCGGGCTGGTTAATCAGGTTCGGGCTTAGTTTGGAGGAGTTATCGGACCGGACCGGACCCTCCACCCACCTCCAGGAGATTTACGGTCGTGGTTCTGTCCTGACGGAGCCGTTAATCACCAGAACTCTGCTGGTTCCGGTCTCTCTGTGAGTCAGCAGGGGGACTGTGGCACACCGGTTCTGACCCTGGTCTTGGTTCTGGTCTTGTCTCGGCTTCCAAACACCCCCGATAGACTCGTCCGAAGTGGACCCACACCGTCCGGACCTCCCGAACCTGCAGCCCATGTAAGTCCCCACCTGGCGGCTTGTTTGATCTAAATCAGTGCTTTTTACTAAGGAGTCTGGTTCTCCGACTGTGCGTGCGCAAATAATGGTGGTTTTCTGAGCAGTTAACACGTTTCTGTTGTTTGGCTTCTTACAACTCGATCAGAATCAGAACCACAGTTCATTAACTGACTTATTAACCGCATATGGTTCCGTTACAGAGCCGGGTTCTGTCTCTGCTCGGAACTAAAGTTCTCTTTGCGAACCTTCGGTTGAAAACCGTCCAATTTAATGTTTCATTTCACATTTTAATCCAAAATTCGGACCCGAGAGCAGAAGTGCGGAAATTAAATAATTATATGGGTCATTTCTAATGTTTCGGCATTAAAACTTTAATCCGAGCTGCGTGTATTTAAAATAAAAGTCAACCTTAGTCATAAATGTACTTTGAACTTCATCAATGGGAGTTTATTTCAAAGTGAATATTTTCTGACGGGTTTAAAAAAAGAGTTTTAAAAATGTCCACTTTCATGTTTGTGTTGTGTATCGATCCGCTCAGATAATCGCATCAGATTATCATAATCAGATTAGAGGCGGCGGTGTGTTCAGGGACTCTGCAGAGATCAGCAGAACCTCAGCTGCAGTCCTCCTCATCATCATCATCATCATCAGAGGTTCAAATGAGTCAGCATTCACACTTTTGTTTGTTGTTGTTGTTGTTTCTTGGTTTGTTTTTGTCAGTAACTTCTTCATCTGAGAACCTTCAGCTCGTTCAGGACGTTACAGCTGAATGTTGGTTTTTCAAACATTTGTCCTTTTTAAAATTTTTTGTTACATTTTAACTTGTTTTAAAATTATAAAGAGCTCTTCAGATCCTGGATATACTTCATTTTGTAGCTTTTAGCTACTGTTTTATTAATTTTAGCCTTTTCTTGGATCCAACAGTGAAGTTCAAGTTTCCTGTTTAGGCTGAAAAAACATTTATGTCACATTTAAAGCTACAATAAATGTCAAAATTCATGCAGTTTTTTGTTTTTGTTGAGACGTTTTGCTTCTGAAACCATTTTTAATTTAACCAGCGACGCTCCGATGGCCTCGTTGCTGAAGGTTTAAATTGTGAATGTTTGTAGTTTTGGACATGAGTGTTTTTTTTTAACAGGAAATGAAGCGAACAAATGTTTTTTGGTGCAAAAATATTCAGGATTTAAACTGTGGAGACAAACGGAGGTAGTTTATTTTATTGTCGGAGGTGACGCAGGGTGACGGATCATGGCGAGTGGAGGGAGCCATTTTATCCACAGGAGCAATGGCAGAGCCAGGGGGTGGCCAATGGTGGCCCTGCCCACCATAGATTAATCTTCAGCCACTCTTCATTTGAGTAAACTATACCTTTTTAAGCAATATAAAAACTAGAAAGCGTAGTTTCCTCAAATGAATGGGGTGGCCAGTTTACGTGTACATCATATATGATGGCGGCCATCTTGGATTTTGACCTGGCAACCCAGTTGTTCATAGGAACCTTTCTTACGCCTTGAAGCAGCCACGCACCAAAAAGGGAAGTCCTTACCTCAAATAATTTTCAAGTTATCGTGCTCACAACATTCACAAACAGACCGACAGTATTTCTAATTCTCCCTGTTTGCTCGGCGACAGCGGACAATAAATGATTGTTCGGGGTTGTTGTAAAAATTGTTAGAATACAGAATAAACTCCTCACCATCGTAAATGATTAAATACAGCAGCCAGTTGCAGAAGTTCTCCCGTTGGCGTTCAGATGCTCTCAGCTGCAGCGTTCACGTCCTCCACAGCCCGGTTTCTTCTCTAACGATCGTCTTCTTTTCAGAAGAACTTTAAACTTTCTCTTTGGACTCGTTCTCTGGCTCCAGTTTCATCTGGGGAACATTTGACCCACTCGATATTGCACAGTGACGGCCGGACACATGGACACCAGTGACCCCCGCGACAAGAAAAGGAAGAAGTGGTTAAAGATGGATGGATGGATCCAAGTGTCGATGTTCAGATGTAAACAAATGACTCTTATTGTTGGCAACAAAACCCGACAGCTGATTTCACTCATTATTTTTTACAGTTTGTGCTGTGGACGTATCATGTCTTGTTTTTATCATAGATGACTGAAAAACATTAAAATGTCTTCCAACAAAGTGAAGTCAGGTCCTCTGGTTTCTTTTTGTTGACACGTTTCGGCTTTCATCCACAAGACTTCATCTGTTACTAATGGGACTGAGTTTGTTGTGGCTCCTCGGACTGATGAAGTCTTCTGGATGAATGTTGAAGCGTTTCAACACAAAGAAACCGTCCAGAGGTCCTGACTGAACTTTGCTGGATTTATTACCTGGATTACTGAGCATGAACTTTTATTAAAAAAAACATATTGTATTTTAACAACTGATGGATTTTAAACAGACTCGGGTTTTATTAATGATCAAATACACAACATTTATAAATGTGTCTGATTAAAGCGCCAGGCATGTTTTCATCTGGGAGCAGGTTGGTGGTTTTTGTTCCCTTGTCAGGACCAGTGGTCCATTTGAAGACCAAAGACTGGTCCTAATACAGCAGAACACCATTGATGGGTCAGGCTGTAGAAATGAATGGAAGTCGATGCTAAGTCCCTTTAAGATAACAAAACATACGTGTGTGTGTGTGGGGGGGGGGGGGGGGGAATCTGCCTTTCAGGATCAGACTGGAGGATGTTTATGTGAACCAACAGCTGGAATGACCAGTAAACTACCCAGAATTCCCTTCCTGCAGGTGAACTGTGCACACCTGTGTTTGTGAACACGCAGAGCGGCACGTTGTTGTTCCAGCTCTGGTTTATTGAGCTCCGGTTGGCAGACAGAGTGTGTGATGGATGGTTCTGGTCCTGAACGGTCCCCCAGAGACCCGCTCAGTCCTCCTGATCGTCATGTGCGACACCTCCATTACCCACTCGAGTGTCTCCTGCGGCTTCTCTCCATCTCCTGCCGCCACGTTCAAACTTAAACAGAAAACATTTAAAGCTGATGTTTGTGTTGATTTTTATTCTGTTGTTGGTTTGAAGGAAAACTCATCAGAACTTTCATGGTTCTGGTTCTAAAAGGTGGATCTCAGATCTCCAATAAAACAGAAGGAAACTTCTGTTCAGAAATGTTGAATAAACCAAAGCAGACTCTTATTCTGAAGAGGATCTCTGAGCTTTATTTTGACAGTCCAGGTTCCGTTCTCTTCCTGTTTCCTGCCGACCCGGCTCTGACTGAATCCTCCTGAACATCAAAGGTCCGATTAGAGGTGCCATGGTGGAAACATAGGAGGAAGAAAAGCATGCTGGGTAGTGTAGAAGGCCAAGAACCTGCTGAGTCAGTGGTTGCCATGGTGACAGCAAGGGGAGGAATAGCACCCAGCAGCACTTCAGGCAGAATCACAGAGTAAAAAATAAGCCTCAAACAGTTTCTGTGTGAAAACTACAAGTTGGATCAAAGACCTTCTTGACCCGTGAGCAGCAGAAGGTTCTGATGGTACCCCGGGTTCTGTTTGATGGTTCTACAGGGTTTGATGGTGGAGCTATGACAAGTGACAAAGAGAAAACTCCAGATCAGAAACGACAGCAGTTCAGTCTCAGAAAGTCCAACTTTCTGTGACCCGTTTAAACTTTTCCCACTCAGTCGAGGTCTGTGGGGACATTTTCCACAGTTTTAGTCATTAGTTCGAGGCGACTGTGGTGCAGTGATAAAGCAGCTGGCTTAGGACCAGAAAGTCACAAGTTTGATTTCCCTTCATGCCCATATACCTTTGAGCACAGACACACTCCCTTCCTGCTCCCTGGGTGTTTACGTAGCTGCCCCACCAGGGTGTACCTCGTGTGATGGGTTAAAAACAGGACCGCTGATGACGACGCATATCATCCTCGTGCAATGTTCTGCTGCCGAAGGTCAGAACTTCCTGCCCCGTGTTTTAATTGAAAGCTGCTGAAGGACAAACGATGGAGCTTAATTTTTTTTATCTGGTTTGAAAGCAGCTTCACTGCATGAAGGAAAACAAAACTGTTCTTCATTAGATTGTCTCCGTCTCTCTGCAGGGAGTCCTTCATCCTCCTCTTCCTCCTGAGTGTGATGGTTGGGACGTCTCCAGCTGTCGGTCAATCCAATGAGTCCACTGGTAAGTGGGGGGGAGGGGCGATCGATACGGGAGCTCGTTAGAAGAAACGAGTCTCTGACCGGAGTCCAGATTAAGGTTGACTGAAACTAAAAGCAGTGCTGTCTGTCGGAGTGTGTGCAGTCAAACGTCTCATCCCTAAAGTTTTATTTCACATGGGGAGTTGGGGGGGGGGGGGGTCACTGCTGACTGAGCACAGACTGGTGAACCTCTGCCCATCTTTACTTTGAACTGATTCAGCTTCTCTAAAAGTCAAGTTCAAGAATCTTTATTATCCCCAAGGGGCAATTTGTTTCACGGTCAGTAGGCACAAAACATTCATAACAAGACATTGAAACATTAAAATGAGAAATCCTTGCTTGTTCTGTAAAATAAAAATTCAATAAAGATATTGTTTAAAATAATAATAAAATGGAAATTATCACTGTTCGTTGAGAAGCCTGATCGCTACAGGGATGAATGAGTTTTTCAGTCTGTTCGTTCTACATGTGAGCAGCAGATAGCTGCGTCCAGAAGAAGAAACCTGAGCTCACCATGGAGTGGATGATCAGGATCTGCCAGAATCAGCCTGGCCTTTTTCACTGACCCCGCCTTGTGTAGGTCAGTGAGGTTCTGTAGGGGCTACTGCTTGGCCTGTCACGATAACAAATTTTGCTGGGCGATTAACTGTCGTGATTAATTAATTGCCCTAGAGAGGTGCTTTGGGCATGTCCAACTGGGAGGAGACCCCGGGGAAGACCCAGGACACGCTGGAGAGACTGTCTCGTTTGGCCTGGGAACGCTTTGGAATCCTCCCAGAAGAGCTGGAAGAGGTGGCTGTGGAAAGAGAAGTCTGGGCCTCCCTGCTCAAGCTGCTGCCCCCCGCGACCCGACTTCGGAATAAGTGGAAGATAATGGATGGATGGATGGATTATTGTCTCAGAAATTATTGCGATAAACGATAATATTGTTTGAAATTTGACAATAATTAATAATTATTGTAAAATTTAAGAAGAAACGTTTATTAATTTGTTTTGCATGTAGTACTTTTTTTGACAACCAGATGGCAGCATAAGACTGTTTAAACCAAAGGATGGATAGTGAGGGAGCGAGCAGCGTGTCTTAAAGAAAACTGTCCGGGAGGCCCCTTGACGTGACATGGGTTGTCTCTCTTCAGTTCTCAAAATGGCAGATGCTCGGTGTGGTTCGATCTCTTTAGCATAGCATTTTTTACACAAAGCTTTTAATAAAAAATAAAAAAGTAAGAAAAGTTCTCAGCTTCTTTTTTTTTTTTTGTAGAGGAAAAACTTTTTACACGAAGGCACGGGTTTCAACCGTGAATTTTGGAACTTCGACAAGACGGAGGTTTTTTCCCCCCGAGGTCGGTCTGTTAGCTTAGCGCATAGCTTAACTTCTCAGCTTAGTAGCAGAAAGAGACTTGATGAAACTATAAAGCCGATAAGTGAAAAGGAGGTTGATAATTTTCAATTATCATGCGATTAATTGATTGATTGTTTATTGCGACAGGCCTAGCTACTGCTGCATGTCACCAATACAGAGACATTTTTTTCCTCTGACAGACCTGTTGGCAATTAACCTGATCAGTTACTAAATGCTCCTCCAGCTGGTTCTGATCCAGACCTCTTAGTTTTACGGCCTTGTGTCGTCACTGGAACAACTTTTTAGAGATGCTTTGCTGCCATAAATGTCCTCTTTCTTTTTTTCCCAAATGCTTCTTAGTTTACGTTTGATGTGTTTTGTGAACAACTCTTTATATGAAATCAGTTTATGGCCTGCACGTAATCCGTAAATTCATCCGACGTTTGATGAATAAAAACAGTTTGAGCTTCTGTTTGAATGAGGTCGGGCTCATTTGCTGCGATCGGAGGAAAACCTGCTGTAATTTCTGCTCTACACCATAAACATGGAGGCTGCAGGAGGGACTCTGAGGATTTATGACCGCGGCAGGCCAGAGATAGATGGTGTGTGTGTGTGTGTGTTTGGATGGAGGGATGAGACGGAGGTATCACTGTATGGATGGATAAAGGAGGAGGGGGATGGTGGAGAGCGTTTTAATAGAAAGACTAATATTCCATCCGGGGAAACCTGACAGGTCAATTACCAACACACACAACCTATAGGACGGGTTCAGCACAGACTCCATTAATCTAGAACCCAGTGTTCAGAATCCTCAGACCCAGCAGAAATAAAACTGTTCCCAACCCGGGCATTTTCAACCGAGACCGAAATGGTCTTAAGTTCTTAAGATTGTTTTTAATGGAATTGAAATGGGGTTCTTAAAAAGTTGAAACCGTCTTTGTTTTCTTCTTGGCTTTGTTAAAACAAGTCTTTGCGTCCCTGACTGTTTGGGGCTCAGAGCTGATGAGTCTGCAGGTACGTTCAGGTGTTTAGAGTGGAAACACTAAAGCAGAACCTATCGGTCATCGTTCTTATTACCTCGTCCTGGATCCAAACCATCCCTTCAGTCTTCCCTCTAATTAACCTTTGGATGATTAACAAGCTCCTGGATGCTTGTGTGTCCTGATCCAATTGACTGATCGGCGTATTGAGTCGGTGTTGAAGCCATCAGTCAATCAAATCAATCGGCGGGGAATTAGTCCGGGCTCATTTAGATGATTCATCGCTTGGAGCGCTGGTGGAAATTTCGCTGTGGACATTTTTATTGTCGCCTTTTTTAAAGGTTTATCAGAGATAAATGTTTAATCTTTACAAGAGTATGTCATGAAGCCTGAATAATCTGGTTCTGTCCGAGTCTTTACTGTTGTTTACCTTCATCTTCTTCATGTTGGTGTTTCACCTTTTAGTTTAGGGACCTGCAGTTTAAACACATCTGCTCTGAGGAAATCAGGATGTTTAAAGGTGAAACTTCACAGGGAGGGATGCTTAACTTCTGTGTGCAGAACAGTCACTTCTGTAGAACCAATGTTTGGAAATAGTTAGGATGGTTTATGTTTGATAAATAAATATCCTGTTTATCTACTTTCTCAAACAAGCCACTCTGAGGACATGAGAAGATTTTTGAACCAGTCTTTACTTGGAAGAGTAGACAGTCACGAAACAGGCTTTCACAGGTGTACAAAGTTACATGTTCATCGCCTAATCATGAGAATCTTGAAGTTATCAGATGCGCCTGCAGGCTCCTCTCTGAGAGGAAAAACAACTCTCAGAACTCACACACATTAATTTAACATTAGTTAGTGACAAACATCCATAAACCTTTACCAAAGTCCCTCTGACAGTTTTACAGGAGCCCAAACTGGAGAAGACTGGACCAGTTTTTCAACATCACTGTTTCATAGTGAGACAGGAAGCTCATGGTTTTAGAGGTGACAACATTATTAAAGCCAAAGAGAGCCACAGAGTACATGTTTGTGTGGCCCTTATTTTAGTGTTTTGGTAAAGCTTCAGTACCAGATCAGTTTCTTCAGGGATTTTGGTATTTGGGACCAGTACAACTGGGTATCATCTGCCTAACATTAGATATACAGTACAGAGTAAAACATCAGAAAATAATTTAACTCCTTCAAAGTCATAGTCTTAAAATCAATATGCAAAACCAACTTTCAACAGTAAAATAAAATAAAATAATTGGTAAAAAATATTCATGGGGGGAGTCTCCAAAATGTCTCCAGGATGTCTTGCAACTTTCATGAGGTTGTCAACCCCTCCATGTTAGTCTGAGGTGCACTTTAGTTTTGACCAAGCTTCAACAATTTGTGAGGACTTTTCTCTTGAAACTGTCACAATGTCACTGTGAGTATCTCCAGCCCATCTGGAACTCATCTGGAATTCATCTGGACTTTGTCACCGGTAGCCCCAACCCATTTGAAACACATCTGGGATTTGCTTCTAGTGTCTCCAGCCCATCTGAAACTCATCTGGACTTTGTCACAGGCGTCTCTAATCCGTCTAAAACTCATCTGGACTTTGTCACTGGTGGTTCCAACCCATCTGAAACTTATCTGGACTTTGTCAAGGTGTCCCCAACCCATCTGAAACTCATCTGGACTTTGTCACGGGCGTCTCCAACTAGTGTCAAACTTTTCTGGACTTTGTCACAGGCATTTCCAACTAATCTTTAACACTTCTGGACTTTGTCATGAGCTTCTCCAACCTGTCTCAAACTCTTTTGGACTTTGTCACAGGCGACTCCAACCAGTCTTTAACTCTTCTGGACTTTATCACA